GAAATTGGATCAAAACTACTATTAGTTGGCCACCAATAAGAAATTGACTTAAATTGATAAAAAGAACATCAAGCTGAAGTGAAAAAAGAAACAGACCTCTGGATAAACACTGGGGATCTGGGAAAAATGCAACTGAGATGCTGCCTTGCCAAAAGGGATTATCCTTCCATACTTTACGGGATCTTTCACTTTGAAAGCTCTATGGAAGTCATTGCTGTTGACATTACTGTCAATAAAAGGAGGCTGAAAGTGTTTTTTCTTTGTGAAGTCACACACATGTCCTTCTTCTGGAGACCAGTCCATGTTACCCCAAATGGTCTCTCCTCCTTTAGGCAGCAATGCTACAATGGAGTCCCATGTTCGAGACAGCCGCATCATGTGTTCTAAGGTTTGAAGTCTTAGAATCTCAGAATCAAGAAGTCCAGGAGACATGTTTCTACAAGTTTCATGTGAAAGAGTCAATTCCCCATGCATTTGAGTTAATCACTCTAGTATAAAAAATGTAGCTATTGTGTATAAATAGCATCAAGCGATTGCATCATATCGATCTTTTTCTAATAGTTGTGAACAATTTATCATCACCATCATTTGGATTGTTTCCTTCACAGTGGCAGTTATGCAAGACAACTAGAATCTTTTCATCTCAGCATAAGTTAATTTTGTTTTAATATTTGGAAACATAAATTCTACTTTATATTATGTTCTTGCTAGTTGGTATCAGGAAAGAGGCTTTGATGGCTAACCTGAGATGAGCAATGTCTTTGCCCTCAGCAGAGAATAAATTACTTACTGCCTTTGGTGCACCAAGAAATGCTGGACCAACATTCATGATTGCTTTGATGTGCTTGGCACACCAACCAGGACCACCACCTCCCATAGGAGGAGGTGTTTCAACCCATTTAAGTGAAGAAAATAGATAACCCTCATAGAATGGGGCAGCACAACCACTTTCTTATGACCATTGGTCACATACATAAGCTCAATTTTACTCTTCAATCTACTTAGAGCTTGATCCCGAATCTGCTTGTTCCCAGTTGGAAATATATTAGTTAAATCCATGGCATATTATTTCTATTTAGCACTTTAAATCAATTAGCAATACTGGAAGGAACATATGTGAGAGTAGGCAAGAGTGGAGATAAAGTAATCTTTTTGCTTCTATAACATTGAAAAGCAAAGAGCGGAAGAATCTTAGGATGCATACTTACATAGCCACTCAAACCAGAAGGAATCAATGTATACTACATAAAAAACATTTTTCTCTTCTCTCCTTTTCATTCAATCAAATTACCTATTAATTTCTTTACACTTGTTTTAAGTTTAAACTCAAAATTTTTAACTTAATTTTACACTTAAATTTTTAATCATTTGAGACACTACTAAAGATAAAATAAAGTCTTGCTAACTTACTTGATAGACAATATTGTGAGTATTCAATTGTTAATAATTGATCAAACAAAAATTGATAATAATTATTATAAAAAGATAATTGTTATTTATCATTTATAGAATTTATTTGACTATTTATCTATCATATGCCTTTAAGATGCACAAAAAAAAAATATAATTATTGTGTAATAATTATTACTTTTATATTAAAAAATGTAATTAATTTTTATTTCAATTATAAATACCATATATAGTCTTTTATGGATATATTTTAAATTAAAATTCAGAAGCTGTTTTTCTAAACTAAAATTTCACTTTTTTCAGAACAAAAAATCACAATTACAAACTAATAACTAATAATTGCTTTCTATTCCATGCCTTAAGAGTATAGAATAAACAAACCCTTCAACTAATTAATTGTTTCCCTAAACCAAATAAGCCTTCAATTCATTTTAGTTGTCACATTAATTAGAGTCTTTCTTTCTTCCTAATTTTTATACATCGTAAAAGTAGTTGCTTACTATGATATATGTTTAAACTCATATTTTTAATTATAAGTTAAGATTTTTGAGAGAGTGCATATGTATTAACTTGTTAATATTAAATGTCTTAACATCACACATTTCACACAATTGTATTTATTAGTTAAATAGTCTTGTAACTTGAGTGAATATATATTAGGAAGAAAATTATATTATGTAAACTAATTTCAAATGTTAAAATAGACTTTGTTTTCATTACTTTCATATACACCAACACAACAAACAAGTCTTTTAGTAGATTAATAAGGAAATTTTTCTTAGTTATAATTTCTTGTGATTAATTATAACTTTAGTGAAAGTCTATGAGTGATATATAAATGTAATAAGCATTAGTACTAATTTAAACTTAAACTTGTATAATTTGTTTAATTTGAAAGAATGCGAAAAGGTTTTTCACCCGAGTCGAAATTGTTTTAGAACTTGCCTAAATATCATTGTTAATGTACATCTAATGCGGTTGATAAGTAGCAAGATTGTAACATGTGAACAAATTTTATGGATTCAATAATACTGGTGCTCCAGGACCCAATTTCCCAAGGATACAAGCCCCCTCTCCCATGGAAGGTAGCCGGCAGACCTAAATGATGGGAAGAAAAAGCACACACACACACACTACGAAGAACACAAAAACCCAAATTCTGTCTGCGCACCGTGGCATTCGGTGGTGGTTCGCTACGGTGGAGCATAATTTTGCCGACACACATTGCATACATACGGCTAAAATTAAGAAACTTTCTACAGAATCTAACAGGGGACGTTGTTTAAGGAGGTGGGGGGATATGATCATTGATGGGCATGGTGATATTCTCTGCCATATTCCGTCGTCTTCTTACGAAGCCAACTGGATCAAAGTTGCAGCTAAATTTTCGCTTATATTAATGTTTCATTTTTTTATGTAAAGATTTCAACTTTTAACATTTCAATTAAAAAAATCTATTCACTATATTAGTATCATTATTAATTTAATCATTAAATAAAAAATAAAAAATTAATATTTTTAAATAAAAAATAAAAAATTAATATTTTTAAATAAAAAAATTAAAATTTAATATTTTTATTTAAAAATTAACGAAATTAATATTTTTAAATAAAAAAAATGTAAACTTAAGGTATTTATTTACCCCTTTTCTTGGAATATGAAACAACAAAAATTTTCCTCTTTTTGTATGGAATGTGTGATACAGAGACATCGGCCCAAGATCTAAAATCTAGGACCATGAGTTCTGGGCCGTCTCAGCCCTTGCGATCGACCTTTCTCTCCAAAAAAAATCGAGAATTTTCACATACAAATGATTTACTTGTTATTACTAATATAATAATCCTCATTGCATAGATCCATATACGTAGCCCATTCTCTGTTGATCCCAGCCCACAAGTCCATTTTAATTAAGATTGGGCTGGACTGCAACTTATCTGTCCCGCTCTCAGTGACCCTATCCACACACCCTCAGGAGTCAGGAGACATGCTATGGCCCATGATCAAAGAAAGCTGCAATTCCAATCAGGACATGCTAGGTTGAACCTTTTCCTTTTTCTTTTTTTTTAACATTGGAGAGTTAATTCATTATTTGATAATACATAAATTTAAATTAACTTTAATTTTAAACTAAAAATTTTAAATTATTAAATATTAATTTGACTAATTTTTTACTGATAACTTATTAATTATATAATAATACATCAAATTCCTTCATATAGCATGGCACTAACTGTTCTAGAGACCAAGCTTTCGTTTATTGGTAGATTTTTGATAGATGCACATAAGAGCAGGGGGGGAGATCGATCGATCCAATAAACCATAGGCGCACAAAGGCATGAAAGGAAAACTCTTTTTTAACTTTTTTGCTACGTCGAAAGTCGGTTGGTTCACTTGATTGATTCCTAACATTAACTCATTTTTAGTGATTATAGCATTTTTTTTTTAAAAAAAAAGGAAAATTAAGAAAAATTGAAAATTTTTTTAAATCATCTATAAAAATTAAATTTTTAATTAAATAAATTTAAATATTAAAATTTAAAAACTAACTATTAAACTCAACTCAAAAGTCGGTTCGTAATTGCAGCACGTTTAGATAAATATACGGAATGAAAATGATATTCGCACACAAAAT